CGAGGTAGTTGCGGTGTGCCATGTAAATATTGAAACGCAGGTACCCCAAAAATATGATTAAAAGGTAGTAGGTTCTTTGGAAAAGCACAACCGACGACTGCATTATGCAGTCAGCTTGTGCACTGTAAAGATAGGTTTGGCTGAATGAAGACAAACAAGCCCGAAACAGTGCTGTATCAATCTACCCCCAGACTCTGTCGTCTCCCCTCTACTATCATAGCTTGGCCGACTTCGGCCTGGTAGGTGGTGGCCTGTTCGTGACCCCTATCGCCCATACGAAGCTTGTTTGCTTCGGGAAGCCAATGGATTAGTGTGCGCCCATTCCTGAGTGAATATATATATATATATATATATGTAGCAGCAACAAGGGACGGTAGATAATGCGGGTAAATTGATACAGCTCGTTTTCGTGCTTATTTTGCCTCCATCCAGCTAATCATAACCCTGAGCAGCAGCTGGAACCAAAAAACAAATATGCGCACAGATGCACCTGGAGCAGTTGGTTCACTACTGAGGCCTACCAGATGGGTCATAAGCACTACATCAATACGAAGTTCATCATTATATATATCTTGACATACGTTAGTCAACGATCACAATTCGAGACCTGGTCGTCCCTTCCTGCTTTGAGGAGATTGATCTAGAGCCCCGGCAACTAATGAGATATGCAAAATAAAAACACCGGCAAACACAGTCTAGATTAAGATGACCACTTCTGAACCATTCGTCGCCAGCAGCCAGCCATACCCAACCACAGGTTTGCAACCCCTAAGGTTCAATCCTGTACTCTGTTGGTTATTAGTCCACTAGATAAAGTATATGACCGGTATCAGGCGAATATAGTCGGCGGAGTCTGTCTTACCAGGATGGTAGTAATACGAGTGACATCACACAGGGGAAAGTAGGAAACCCCGGATATGAAATTCGCAAAAGTCAAAAATCTTAAATGATGCTTTGCCCCCTGTAGGTTGGTAGCAGAATTCAAAGAAAAAGAAGCACTGGCGATGAGCCTATATGCACATTTTGATAAGACCGTGGTTTAATTCAAAGGATTTCATCCCACGGGCTTAGAGGCGCCTTAGAACGTGACTGGAGTCCGACCAAACTATCTACTCAACAACGTTTACTTTCATATATACAGCTGGCGATTCTCCATAGTATACCTAGCCTGGAGATATGATTTGTTCTGAGCGTTCATCGCATTAAGCATAAATGTGAGACATATGTTAATGATTCAATAACTGAAAGTGTTCGGGAATGGTAGATGCTGTTTCCTTGAGCATCCTATTTAATGTGGATGTTTAGAACATTTAAACTCACAACACCCCTGAACTCCATCAACTTTCTCACCCGATGACAGTGTCTTCACGTTTAGGAGAACTAACTCTCTGATGAAACTTTTGAGTAGCGGACCCATCGACACGCTTTCTCGCTGTTTGAATACGTTGTACGTCTCAGGTTATAGTTAATATTTCAGTCGAAATTGCTCTCGGAATGTTTTTTGATGGTCTCCCCTGTCAGGGCCTCTGTATATCCTTTAACATAAAGACTACGACGAATGATCTTATAAGTCCATGCGGATTGAATTTAATCACCCTGAGCAGGTTAATGTGTCTGCACCCACGGTTAGACACTCTAGATGTCCTTCCGGCCGGACGATGACACAAGGAACAGAGGGCGAACCCCGCCGCATGTCATAATTATATGTATGGATATGCTTGCGTATGTTGCCGACAGTAATCATGGCCATATTTGACATATATGGTCAAG